GGCTACGAAATTATTTTATTTTTTAAAAGCAAACGTGAATCAGATAAATGCTAACATTTTATTATATATATATATATAAAATAAGTGGAAATAGGAGTTGTGAGAGTTGTGAGTTCTTTTTTATTATTATTATTTAAATTTATGTGATACAGTGATAAACATGTGGGATTCTATATACATATGTATATCCACAACTCCAATAAAAGATATTATTTGATTTTTATATTATTTGATTTTTTTAAATATTTTTTTAGATAACACAATTGGGAGAGGAAGTGAGAATACTTGAATAGTGAGAAGAGGGGTAAAGAGATAAATTTTGAAAAGATTAAGTTGAGATGTGCCACGTATTTATTTTATTTTTCCAAAATTATGAGAATTAGAACTACTACATAATTAAGTTTATTTACCTCTGAATTTAAATTGTGTGCCCTCCTTATATATTACAACAAAATCAAACACATAAATTAATATAATTGAAGAACAAAATACTCCTCTCGATTGGTACAATTTTTCTCAAAAAAATGGATGAACTCCAACTGCATCACAAAACATCACTCTTTGTATTGGTCTTTTAGCCTTTCGTTGCCATTGCTACTTTTTCCTGTACGTTGTAATTGTAAAATTTTAAAAAAATGAATAATAAATTTTGGAGGCATAAACGCATTTACTACATTATTATAATTTCAACAACTAACTTAGATTATGAAGAAAAAAAATTAAATACACAAAATAAACTAAAACTAAAACAAACAAAAAAATCTGCAAAAGAAAAAATAGAATAAAAAACACAATATGAGATTTCAAATATATATTTCTTTTCACATAAGAAAAATCTTACAAAATTGGTTAAATCACCTATTTAATTTCTCTGCAGGGTTATTTTGTTCTCCAATATTTTTGCCCAATTTCATATTGTTATGGAAGCAAGGTTTTGAGATTTATAGTTTAATTAAATTTTTTTTTTTTTGAAATATCTTTGAGTAGGATATAAATTTGAGGAAGAAATTTGAATTAGAGTCAAACTCATCTTTTATCTATAAATATTTTGAAAAAATCCTATCCATATGATATTATATATATCCATGCCCTAAGTAATTAAAAAGTAAAATAAAATATATTTAAAAAGAGGAAAAAACAGGAAAATAGAAAGAGAGAAGAATGAATGTGCCACCTAAGAAAGAGTATAATGGCATGTTAGGATTGAGAATTTGGAGTTTTTTAAGAGATCAAATTTGATGAAGGAATTTGAATTAGAGTCAAACTCATCTATTGTCTATAAATATTTTGAAAAAATCATATCCATGTGATATTATATATATCCATGATCTAAGTAATTAAGAAGTAAAATAAAATATATTAAAAAAGAGGAAAAAATAGGAAAATTAAATGAGAGAATAATAGATGTGCCACCTAAGAAAGAGTTTAATGAGATGTTAGGATTGAGAATTTGGAGTTTTTTAAGAGATCAAATTTGATGAAGGAATTTGAATTAGAGTCAAACTCATCTATTGTCTATAAATATTTTGAAAAAATCATATCCATGTGATATTATATATATCCATGATCTAAGTAATTAAGAGGTAAAATAAAATATATTAAAAAAGAGTAAACATGTGGGGTTCTATATACATATGTATATCCACAACTCCAATAAAAGATATTATTTGATTTTTTAAAATATTTTTTTAGATAACACAATTGGAAGAGGAAATGAGAATACTTGAATAGTGAGAAGGGGGGTAAAGAGATGTGCCACGTATTTATTTTATACGGATAATTAATTGACATTTTTTAAAGATAAATAAAGTTCAACTTGAAGATAAATTTTGAAAAGATTAAGTTGGAATATATGAAAATCTACAACAATCAAGTTCAAATAGAAGATAAACTCCAAGAGATAGGAAGTTCTGAAGAAAGTAAAAATTTAAGTTCAAATTTAAAGATAAAATAATATAAACATGAGGGGGGCGACACCTCACTGGGGGTCGACCCCCAGTGGGGGTAGGAAGCATTAATCAAAAAAATAATATGTCATTTTAGGGTTTAATGTATATTGTCCTTATTAGTAAATTTATATTAGGGTATAATTGGAAATAAAATTTCAAAATATTAATTGGGCGTGCTGAATTATTTTTTGCGTGCAAATAGAATTACCCAAACTGGACCACATAAGAATAACTATGGGCTTGACCCAACTAGACTGACATAATGAGGCCAATCCAATCAAGAAGTCCACTAAATAAATTAATTAACAACTACTCTAAATAGAAAGAAAGGGTATGCCTAAACTCTACATAACAACACCCTCTTGGTTCTTTGTTTCTTTCTTTGAATACTCACTAACTTCATCATTCATTAGAGTGCCTTCTGGCTGGAAACCACCGGTTGAATCGCATGAATGATGTTTTGCTTTGCAAATACGTGAGGTGGAACGTATCTCTTTGTTGAATCTCTCCATCAATCTACGTGAGTTAAAGTTTAGGTTTACCAAAATCTAATATCCAAACACAACATCAGTCATTTTTTAAAAAAAGACTTCACTATTTCTCTCTCTTTTTCCACAAAATGGTGCAGTTAATAAGTTGTCACAAAATCTGCAGTTACAGAAGCTCTAGCTCCACCAAAACACGTATTGCTATTCTGCCAATACCACTTTAAGAAAGTTAGATGGTGGAAGCAAAATTAGGAATGGACTTTGTAGAATATGAGAATGAGAACCCCAAGGGTTTGGCCTGGTGGATGGATGACGCTTAGGACTTGGGGCTTTGCTTGCTCTAAGGTCTCCGGTTTGAGTCCCCTTGCCAGCAAAACTCTTGGGCCACGGATTGCAGGGAATAAACCTATTTCGAAAAGTTCATTTGGATTATAGGGATTTAGTCTGTTGCACGCAAACTTACCTAAGACACCTTACATATAAATATATATATACTAGTAGTCACCCGTGCGATGCACGGGATTTTACAAAGTTGCACGCAAACTTACCTAAGACACCTTACATATAAATATATATATATATATATATATGAAAATGAGATGCAATATAAGGTCAAATGACACTACATTTTCAAAATATTTCAATAGGTGTTTGGTTGAGGATTATTCAGTAAAATTAAGTACCAAAAGTTATTAGTAAATGGCTTCACATAAGTCTGCCGCCAAGAGAATTTTCAAGTGTCAAGCATTGTGCATGTCTGGGTGGTCTTTCAACTCCTTTCTCCACCCCTGGATCAATATTTCTCGCTTCTTGATAAGCTCGGACTTGGTCTTCAACTCTTCGTCCATCAGAGCAATCTCTTGTTAAAAATACTTACAACATGTAAGTGCAAAGAAACAACTGAATTCATGTTATAAGTATGTATGTTAAGAGAAGTAAAAAGATTCTAAGTTCAACTCAGACTTGTTTGCTCAAGCATTTTTGCAATGTGATTACAAGTCCACCTGCTTGAACAGGCGATGAATGATAGTGAAAAGAAAAGGAAAAAATCAGAGGATATTTGGATACATAGTGGAAACTAATGAGGAAAGAAAATACAATCAAAGTATGTGAGATATTTTTGGTTCCATATATGGTTTCTCCTTTTGTTTCTCATGATTTCTCATCATTTCATATTTTTTTTTTGTTAATAATGTCTTTTCTGGCAAGTAACAATCAGAAATCCTAAAGCTGCAATGAATTGAAATTTACATTGGTTGTTAAAGAAACATGCGGAGCTCCTTAGCATTTAATCGTCAAAATTAATCTCTACCCTATCTAAGAATGTTTGGACGTTTTTTCATTTCCTTCATTTTCGTTTTCTACTTTCATGTTTTCATGTTTTCTAAAACAGTTTTTAGAAACAGTTCACCAAACAAGAAAGAAAACACAACTGAATGGGGTAACAATGACGCATACTTAATATGGCAAGAGAGAAAAGCAAGCATTAGATAATTTGATTGAATTGTTCTAATGACATAAACGTCCTGCCCATCATATGAGATTCTCTTAACAATCTTCATGATTTTCAGGTGATATATTTTTCAAACCACAGTGAATTGGGGGAACCTCGGCAATCCTACTGATTCACACGTACAACGAGCCCTTGTAAGAGAGAGAGAGCAACAGTACCGAGCTTCAAGAAAACCGTTACGATAAAACAAAATATGGACCAGAGGCAAGCCCAACTTTTCTTTTCATAACTAATAGGTGGTGGTGGTGTTGGCATATTTTGACATGATTACAGCTGAACCAATAGAAACAAAGGCTAGTCATCAAGCTTTGAGCTGTGTGGCGACCGAAGGAAAAGCCTGAAGCAATTGCCCAGCCCAACATCACCCCCATGCTAATCATGAGAGTGATCCCATAACTAACCTTCTTCCTCCAAAGTTCAGCTCGGGTTTGGTAGGCCATATGCCGGAATAGTGAGAGTGAGATAAGAGGAGATTTATGGATCAAAGAGGTTTGATAATACTTGATGTGTAATAAAGGTTGATTATGAGCAGCTTGTATTGGTTTTTGGTTCTGTATTTTTTTGTTTTGAAAGGAAACTTGTAACAGCTTTTGCTTTGTTACACAAGAAATTCCCTTTGTAACCAACGACCTATTTGGAACCAAGGCCGTTGGAAATTAATGGGATATATACAGGCATGATTTGTATGGGCGCTCAGCTCAAAGTGCCACGGCCTCATTTGACAACATCAAATTTTAGCCTAAAAGTCAAAAAATAATTAAAAAGTAAAAAAGTCAACAAATTATACAAAAAAAATCAAAAATTCTCTTTTCTTTTTACATTTTGCACATCTTTTTTTAAAAAAAACTAAAAAATCATCCCAAATATACCATTTTTTTTTAAACCTCATATATTAGCTAAAAAATCAAAAAATTACTAAAATAGCATGTTCCCAAACGAGGTCACGTGATGGTATAGTCAACAAATGAGAAATTTCATAACTCACTCAGGTTGAAAAACTTAAAAATATATATAACTGATAACTAGACTCAAATTGCTAAAATTGATAGATTAAGAATCATTGATTTCTTGAAATGCCATTCCACATCAAGTGAAATCTTTAGAGTTTGACATAGGGTCCTTTGAGAAAAAGAAAAAAAAAAAAAGGAAGAAAGAAAGGAAAAGAAAATGATCAAATAATTTGAAAACTGAAGACCTAACAAAAAGCCACAAATTGGACATAATTTTTAGATAAACAGCAATGCAGCGCATACGCGCGCAACATTATGGACACCTTACAATGGATGTACAACAATCAACCAAACTTAGTTCCATAGAGCAAGAACATGGTGATCATGGGGTATTCACACTAGATTTGTAGTCCTCAGAGGACGGTCGGTTGTCCAATTCAGATTGTCGAATGTCCTCAATCATTCTAACAACTTCACTCATATTGGGCCGCATATCTGGCACCTTTGCAACGCACGCGAGTGCAATTTGAAGCATTTGCACCATCTCTTCCTCAACATTTTGGTGACTCAATAGCTCCGGGTCAAAAACCTCAGCTGTCCATTCCTCCCTAACTACAGACCGGACCCACCTCGGGAGATCAACCGGATCATCATGCCCTGCGGACTTGAGTGGGGCCTTGCCTGTCAACATCTCTAGGAGTAGGACACCAAAGCTGTAGACATCGGATTTTTGTGTGACTTTTCGGGTCTCACTCACTTCTGGGGCACGGTATCCAGGGCCTCGAGATGGGGTTGCTAGGAAGTTAGTTAGAGGAGTCAAGCCATAATCAGATACACAAGCATTGTGATCTTGGGTGAGGAGGACATTGGAGGATTTGACGTTTCCATGGGTGAACTTAACACCGCCCTCAGAATGGATGTGGGCGATTCCCCTGGCAGTTCCAAGTGAGATCTTCAACCGCGAGTCCCAGTCCAGTGGATTTCTTCCTATGCCCCTGTTACCTGTTTTTTGTGCGTAAATGAGATGAGGAATTAGAAGTAGAGAATTGGTAT